AGATTGCTTGCCGATCTCTCAATTTATATTGTGTAAATGAACTTTCCAGCTTGATAACAGTTACTTATTTTCATATTTTATCCATTTTCTGTTTGATTTTATTTCCCATTATGAATTACCTACCTATCATTCTTTATCAGCCCCCTTCTCTTGGCAGCATACTCTTTGGATAGTAGTTGAGATATGGGAACCTCTACTTGGGACATGTCGGAACAGAACCATGTTGTATCAGCAAAACTAATTTTCAATGTCTCGGCTATATTGTGGATATATTCAGCAGAATTGTGACCCATTCCTAAAATTATGATATTAAAAACTACAATATATAATTTTAATAAAGCGATTATTCATTATTTTGTTATTCTATCAGAAAACCTTTCATTTTTTAGCATTAATTATTAACGAAATATGAAAATTCTGGTACCCAATACATTGGATACATCGGTGCAAACAAAGTAGATTTTACCCAGAAGTGAGCAGGACATCGAATGTATTTCTAGGACATGAGCAAACTTTTGAAAGAAAACAAACACATAGAAGAAATTTCATATATTGTATACCAACCTATGTGTTGGTAGAACTCTTAACCGAATTTGCAAGCAAGGTTTAAATTCCAGGCATCAATATATAATTCTGTAATACCTAAGCAACATAGATAATACAGGCATTATTCTTATTTTAGAATGTTTCACTCGTGCATAGACATATCCTCAGCTTTTGAGTCGGCCATAGCGCTTATATCGCCATAACAGTGACGGATCTTTATTATGATCATTATGCTAGCACCTTCCCCTACATGAGAGCATTATTCAAGTCATATCCATCGGAAGGATTTGATAGTTTTTACCTCTTATGGAAGGCACTACCCAGACGTTAGAAGTTTGAAAAAGGGTCGGGAATAAAAATCCAACTCGTACACAACCACTACGCCTTCGCTTTCTTAAGTTTAAATTCAAAATCTCTCAGTAGATGTCAATATCTCTCGAATAAAATTATCAATTACCAAACAGTTAACCAACTAGAAACGATCTCGTTGCGAGCAACGAGAGGTCTTCCGTCCGATTCTGAAAAAAAAAACAACTCGTAAAGTCGAGCTGAGAAGTGATTAAAAATTTTGGTCACAAATTGAATCCAGGTCGCCAGCGTGAAAATCCAATCCGCTTTTTTCCCTTTTTATCCCCAACGCACTAACCATTACGCTATTGGGAGTACTGCTCTAAATGTACTTGTGTATACTTTTGCTACAGTATACCTGTCTAAGAATTATAAAAGACGGGCCATTATTCATAATTTCGCGCCAAACGCCACGTTAAATCTTCGCGCCTTTTCTTTGGACTGATCTATTAAATAGGTGTGATAGCTTCAATGAAATTAAGAAAAAAGTACGTTCTCATAGCCTACATTTCGAGGTTTAGAAAATATATTTAACACATTGTACACATTCTATAGAAAAGTAACACAAAAGCACTGAAATGACTGTAATTTAATTTTTTTTTATTTCCCGTCTCAGAAGTGAACTATGCCGATTAGTTACACTTTCATAAAAAGGTTGAAATGTTTCCCCGAAAAACATGCCTGGCTCTACGACAGTCAAGGAATCAGATACCATTTATGTTCAATAACTTGATTCAGATCTTTGAGAAAAGAATGTTAATATTAATAAACTCCATTAGACGGTCTTATTAAAATGGTTTTATTATTTTTGTTTTTTCTATTCGTTTAATATCACACAAGTGTGCATGGGAAAAACGGTGGTTCTACGTTTTATACTTACTATGTATATGCATCGATATTGTTTTTTGAAAAACTATACCTTATAACTATGATTTAAGATATGTTTTTCCGTTTTGCAAAACAAATGATAATAGGTATCTCTCATTTGCACATTTAGTCTTTTCTTTTTCTACTTTGAGAACCAACCAAAACCAGTTACAGAGGACGTTTGAGAAGACACTGGAATAAATCTTTAGTTTGACACAGAATTGTAACGTAATTACTACGTGATCTATTAACGCGCAAACCATTAAGCTATTGGGAGCACTGCTCTAGATATACTTATGCATACATTTGCAACAGTACACCTGTCTAAGAATTATAAAAGGCGGGCCACTGTTGATAATTTCGCGCCAAACGTCACGAGTTAATATTCACGCCTTTTCTTTGGACTGATCTATTAAATAGGTGTGATAGCTTCAATGAAATTAAATAAATGAAACGTTCTTATCGCCTTTATGACATGAGATGATACCAAATAAATACTACTACTACTACTTTATTTTATTTCAACGTTAAGAAGGTATATTTAACACATTGTACACATTACATATCGTATCTAGCCCAGTTACACTAAAGCAGTGAAACGGAAATAAAGTTTTAAGATTGACACGTAATTACAACGTACTACTACGTGAAAGTCCAAGTAGTTTTTTCTATTTCATGTATCCTTATGTCAGAATGGTTTAATCAAACGCTCAGCTGCCTCCATAAACCCCTACTCGCGAAATGGCGGAATCAACAGAGACAGCCGCCATCTTGGGCCCGCTTCAGATTTTCAAATATTAATATCTAGCGTTCAGATTAACCAATATTCAAACAACTTATATAGTAAGCTTATATAGAAGGGTCTCTATTAATATTCCAAAAATCAATGATAGATAATGGAAAACAAAAAAGTTAGAAAATAAGCTTTTTTCAATTCGCATCTCCTAACGATAGGAAATATTGACGACGAACAAAAGGTCGCGTCCTGGATAGTATCTATCACGATCTATAATCCCTGAAAGTTTCACATTGATATCTTTTACCGTTCTTGAGATTAACTGCAGACAAAATTGCATTTTAAAATCAGAAAATTGTCCGTAACTTGGCACCAGAGAAAAATTTCCAAAAAATCTCTAGGATAAAATAACTTCAGATAACAACACATTGTTCCTGCAAATTTCATGAAAATCCATCCAGTAGTCTTCGAGAAATCGCGTGCACAAAATTAGATGGTCAGAAAAATAATAATAATAATAAGAAACAATAGAATCGCTATAAGGTCTTCCGTGAAGACGGAAGACCTTAATAAATAAAATTACAGCAAACACTTGAAAAACTAGAAGATGAAAATTTGTATTAGTGTATGAAATTTGATCAGGATATCTTGAATAGTGATGCAGTTCAATTGCTTACATCAATATGTATCAGCATATGAAGTTAATGATGACATTAATTTAGGACAAGAGGTCCATGTGCCACATCGCTCACCTGAGCACACTGGCTAGGAAATAAAAGCAGAAATCACTTCAGTATTGAGAAATTTACAAGGGGGTGGGGGGGGGTCTGGAATTTTAAACTACCAACTACCTGATGATGCTTCAATACAACAAATGCCTTTGCTGTTTTTGAGCAGATGATTTTTTCCCTATATACCGGTATTCATTTGCCCCCCCCCCCCCCAACATTGTGGCCCAGCCCTACCCCTAGGAGCCCTCATTTGAACTAGTATGACTTTGTACTACCTGAGGATGCCTTCATATCAATATGATTAAACATGGCTTTTCTGTAGTTGGGAAAAAAATTTCCTTGATATTTCTGGGCAAAACCTTGATCCCCAATCGTGGCCCACCCTACCCAACCCCTACATCCCGTTCATGCCTTGAACAAACTTGAATCAACACTATGTGAGGATGCTTACATAAAGATATGACCAATCATGGCTTTGTGGTTCTTAAAAAGAAGAGTTTTAATAAAAATTTCCGATGTATTCATTTCTAAGGAAAACTTAAATCGTCCATTGTGGCCCTGCCCTACCACTAGGGGTCATGATTAAAACAAACTTGAATCTACTGGTACACTACCTGAGGATGTTTTCACATAAATTTCATCTTTTCTGGCCCAGTGGTTCTTGAGAAGAAGATTTTTTCTATATATTCCTATGTAAATCTTTGATCGTCAGTTGTGGCCCCGCCCTACCCCCGAGGGTCATAATTTGAACAAAATAGAATCTACACTACCTGAGGATGCTTCCACCTAAGTTTCATCTTCACTGGCACAGAAGATTGAAAAAGATTTTTCCAATATATTCCTATGTAAAACTTTGATTGTCAGTTGTGGCCCCGCCCTATCCCCGGGGGTCATGATTTGAACAAAATTGAATCTACACTACCTGAGGATGCTTCCATATAAGTTTCATTTTTACTGGCCCAGAGGTTCTGGAGAAGAAGATTTTAAAAAAAATCCTATATATTCCTATGTTAAACTTTGATCAGCCCCTGTGGCCTCTCCCTACCCCCGGGGGTCATGATTTGTACAAACTTGAATACAAACTTGAATCTACACTACCTGAGGATACTTCAACATGAGTTTCATCTTTCCTGGCCAAGTGGTTCTTTCTAAAGATTTTTCCTATATATTTCCATGTAAAATTTTGATCGGCCATTGTGGCCCCGCCCTTCCCCCGGGAGTCATGATTTGAACAAATTTGAATCTACACTACCTGAGGGTGCTTCCATATGAGTTTCATCTTTCCTAGCACAGTGGTTCTTGACAAGAAGATTTTTAAAGATTTTTCCTATGTATTCCTGTTTTAAACTTTGATGCCCCATTGTGACCCCATCCTTCCCTCGGGGGTTCATGATTTGAACAAACTTGAATGTATACTACAGGAGGATGCTTCTACATGAGTTTCATCTTTCCTGGCCCAGTGGTTCTTGAGAAGAAGATTTTTAAAATATGCCATTAATTTTTTACTAATTTATAATTATCTCCCCTTGGAAGAGGGCTTGGTCCTTCATTTGAAGGAACTTGAATCCCTCTCTACCCAAGGATACTTTGTGGCAAGTTTGGTTGAAATTGGCCAAGTGGTTCTTGAGAAGAAGATGAAAATGTGAAAAGTTTACATAGACAACGACGACAGACAACGGACAAAGCCCTCGGCTCGGGTAAGCTAAAATTATTTAAAATTCTTAAACTTTTGCTGAATTTAAGCAGAAACACTTTATAAGAGATACTGTAGAAGCACAAAATTTCGTGGGCATAAAATTTCGTTGTTTTGTCACCAAAAATAGTAATTTACAGGAGGCTCATGGGCCACATCGCTCACCTGAGTACAATTGCTAGGGAAAAGAGCAAAAATCAGTTTTGCAGTTTACCTGGACAGGGGGGCTTGAATTTGAAACTACCTGATGATGCTTCCATATCAATATAATAAATGACTTTTCTGTTCTTGAGCAGATTTTTTTCCTATTATTCATTTGAAAAAAAATTGACCCCCCCTTCTGGCCCAGTCCTACCCCCAAGGGCCCTCATTTTAACCAATATAATTTTACACTACCTGAGGATGCTTCCATATCAATATGGTTAATTATCGCTTTTCTGTTCTTAAGAAAAAAATTTTTCCCTCTCTATCCCTATGCCCAACTTTGATACCTCCCATTGTCACACTACCTGAGGATGCTTGCATTAAGATATGTCCAATCATGGTTTTGCTGTTCTCAGAAAGAAGACTTTAAAAGAATTTTCCTATGTATTCTTTTGTTAAACTTTGATCACCCATTGTTGCCCGACCCTACCCAGGGGTCATGATTTTAACAAATTTGAATCTACTCAACCTGAGGATGCATCCGTATAAATTTGTGTAATCCTCCCTGCCAATCCGAAATGTATTGTAGTATCCGGTGGTTAGATTTGGCGGTGTAATTTCCATGCAGGGCACCGCTTAGTAGGTCAGATGTATTCCAGAAAGAAGACTTTTAAGGAATTCACTATATATTCCTATGTAAAACTTAAATCGTCCATTGTGGTCCCATCCCATCCCAGCGGTCATGCTTTAAACAAATTTGAATCTACACAACCTGAGGATGCTTCCATATAAAATATGATCAATCAGGGCTTTGCTGTTCTTAAGAAGAAGATTTTAAATGATATTTCCCTATATATTTATATTAATCATTTGAGAAAATTGGTTGAAAAGTTGGTTGAAATTGGCCTAGTAGTTATCAAAAATGTGAAAAGTTTACAGATAGACATACAGACGGAGGCTAGACAAAATGTAATCAGAAAAGCTCACTTTAACCTTTGGCTCCGGTGAGCTAAAAAGATATTTCAGAACCAGCATAAAACATTTCACTGAAAAAAAAATTAGCTCTGTGTGCAACCAGCATGGAAAAAGGGATTCTAACTTTACAATATTTTATATATTTCAAAAGGGAAAAATTGATCATTTTCTTCTAAACAACAGGCCCATGGGCCACATCGCTCACCTGAGTAATTTGGAGATGCCGTTTTCTTTTTTACCAGAATTCTCTCCTTGTAATACCTATTGTGGCCATATCCTCCCCCTTCACCGAGTCATGATTTTAACAATTTAGAATCAACACTGCCCCAGGATGCTTCCACTTAAGTTTCAGCATTTATGGCCCAGTGGTTCTTGAGAAGAAGATTTCTAAAGTGATTCTGCTTTGTTAACTAGCACACTGTATTTACCATATGTGTTTGACCTCGAAACACTTTACTTTCAATGTAAATGAATTAAATAAACATTTATCACACAAATGAATTCCATTAATTGCATAAAAAGGAATCATCAGAAACTTAATTTTGTAAATAACAAACTGACATTTTCAGGGAAAAATATACTTGAATAAAGGATGACTGCACTTAACACTGTGTCTGGGGTCTTTTTCGGTTGCTTCTGTTGCTTTTGAATCTTGACCCAAGTTCAATTTTATATATTTATTACAGAAGTCTGTCAGTCAATTTGGCACACAATTTAAATGTTTAAAAATGATTTTAGACTATAATGTAATGACTAATTTCAGTTTTTGTCCTTATGGCTTTCCAAATACAGATCATTCACACTTACCTGCCTTTGATTGAACATTATGTATGCATGAAAGGCGGAGCTAACATATAAGAATGGAACTAAAATTCGACTGGATGAATAACAATGAAAATACGAAATCTGTATTTTTCATCTTCCTATTATTATGTATGGTACAAGTACATTAATTACAAAGACTTTAAGAGTATTAGACCATCCATGTAATTAAAGAATGTTTTAAATCGGTGACTTACTATCTAATGTGTTCGAGTACAGTGTCCTAGTTAGCACAAAACTTGCTAACAATAAGTCACGTGACGGAATTTTGTATTCACAAAATTACCTGAGGAAAGATATCACGTGGTGAATTATAATATTTAACGTGTCACAGCCCTTGGTTACAACAGAGAGACCGAGTGTAAGAAGAAGCAGTTTTTTTTTCTCTTTTAAACAATGAGCGCATGTTTGTCTATTATTCTCCTTTTTACAACATTACTAACGCAAATATACAACTACTGTGCAAAGGAGAACAATAGACAAACTTGCGCTGACTATGTATAACGTCAGTAAAAAAAGTGGGCGTCCTCATTATCGTACGGAGATTGAAGAAATTGCGTTGATCCCCGCCTTAGTAAACAGATTTGTACACCGTAAATACATACTTCTAATTATTGTAATTAAGTAAAGTTGTAGATTAGATGTTGATCATTTCTGCAATTAAAAGAAAAATGTCTGTTTTGAAAGTTTATTATGACGCAAATTTCCCAAATCTTTAAAGGCAGTTATCCTTTATATGTTTTGACCTCAAGACACATTACTTTCAAAATGTATAGTAAACAATAACTACTGTTCAGTTCTGTGGAATTTCAAACATTATTAAATTATCTCGCTTGTGATTAGCAGCATTTCATTGATTGGCATTAAAAATGGCTTGTCCTTAATCACATTAATTTAGTCTTCCTACAATCATTTGGAAAACCGATTGACACTAATTGTGCTCCCAATATTTAAGCCATTATATTTTATATTCCTTTGGAGTAATTTTTATTCAAAAACGTCTACATAGAAAGAAAACACTTGCTTGCTTTTGCATTCAAAAATATAGTCGACTCTGAATCAGTTAACAATAGTTAACTTCCATCCCTATATCCTAATGATCTCAAAACACAAAACATCGGAAAATCCTACAAACAAAATGAGTCAGTATCAGGGACAAAAAGCGGACCTCTGAGAAAACCAGGTTGGATCATGTGCCTAAGAGGAGTAAGTATCTCCTATCGATTGGTCAAACTTGTTGTGAACCCTTTTATTGATCAGTAAACGAGTATTCCATACTTAAATAACATACAAGAGGCCCATGGGCCACATCGCTCAGCTGCGTAGCTTTGACCATGATGTTCTTTACCAGATTTCCCCATAGTAATACATATTGGGACCCCACCCTACCCCACGAGTGATAATTTGGACAATTTAAAATCAACACTACCCCAGGATGCTTTCGCATAAGTTTCAGCTTTTCTGGTCCATTGGTTCTTGAGAAGAAGATTTTTAAAGATTTTTTCCTATTTATTTTATGTAAAACTTTGTTTCCCAATTGAGGCCTTACCCTAGCCCCGGGGTCATGATTTGATTAATTTAGAATCTTCACTAACCCAGCATGCTTCCACATAAATTTCAGCTTTCCTGGCCCAGTGATTCTTGAGAACAAGACTTTTAAAGATTTTTCCTATATATTTCTACGTAAAACTTTGATTCCCTATTGTGGCCCTGCCCTACCCCTGGCGATCATGGTTTTTAAAATTCAGAATCTACACTACCCCGGGATGCTTGCACATAAGTTTCAGCTTTCCTGGCCCAGTGGTTCTTGAGAAGGAAATTATAAAAGATTTTTCATATATATTTCTATGTAAAACTTTAATTCCCTATTGTGGCCCCACTTAACCCCTGGGGGTCATGATTTCAACAATTCCGAATCTACAATACCCCGGGATGCTTGCATATAAGTTTCAGTTTTCCTGGCCCAGTGGTTCTTGAGAAGATTTATTAATGATCCCACCCTATTTTTGTCTTTTCTTGATTATCTCCCCTTGTGAAGGGACTTGGCCCTTCATTTTATTTATTTATACTCCCCTTTACCCAAGGATGCTTTGTACCAAGTTTGGTTAAAAATAGTCTAGGGGTTCTTGATAAGAAGTCGAAAATGTGAAAATTTATAGACGGATGGACGGACAGACAGACAGCTAGACAGACTGACGGACAAAATGTGATCAGAAAAGATCACTTGAGCTCAGGTAAGCTAATAAAAGCAAATATTTTTTGCAAATTTTATGTACAGTCTGATAAAACGCGACAAAACGTGTTAACAGTCAGGATCCTTATGATGACCTAATTTTTTCAAAAAAGATTGATTTTAACAAGGCTGCTGAATTTAGATAGAAGGAAGCCACCAGGACTTGCACTCTTGTCTCTACAACCCTATCTTTCATCATTTTCAGAAAGTATAGGTACATGTACTTCAATTTACAAGTACATGTACTCAGGTAATTCATACCTTTTAAATCCATCCCCTCCAGTATATTGAGCGCTATCAGCGTTGTTATACCCTGACCATTTGGGGGTACCTCCCAAACTTTATAACCTTTGTACTCAGTACTTATGGGTTCCTCAAAGGTGGTCATGTGACTTGCGAGATCCTCTGTTGTCATGACACCGCCATGGTATTGTACTACGTCAATTATCGCTTTAGCTATTCTCCCACAGTAAAATCCTGCTTTCCCTTGAGTGCCAAGTTCCTGAAGGATTAGACAGAAATATTCAAAATATCAACATCACATCCAGTGGCTGTCATACGGTACCTTTAGGTTCAATATAGAAAATACTTTTTCAAGCAAAGTATTCAAAAAATTTGAATACACAAGTCTTCATCTCTTTTTTGTTTCAGACTACGGATGAGGATGTATATTAGATTATCTTACATACGTCCCTTGATAGTATTTGCCGGCTTTGGAACATTATAATAGTTATTAATCTAATATGAATATCACAGTAAATATACCATTCCAGTACAATTTATCAAAATAATTATGATTGTGAAATTGTGAATGTAGATGTAAACACTGGAATTGGTGTGAATTAAATGTGTATTGTATAAGGATCGAAAAATATAAACAACGTTTTTATCATGATCACATGTATGTCTTCTCTAGTTAACCTCAACTTTTGATATTTCGATATTGCTCATTAGTAACTTAATAAAATAAAGTACTTAATTCAACTATACAAGCATTAAAATATTGAATTAACCTGTGTTCTCAAATTTAAATTTTGAAGTCCTTCTAAAAATACGTAATTTATTCAAATATATATACTTAATCTGTAATAAAGAAACCGTGCTTTGTTAAGAAGAGGGGCAAGTCAGATTAAGAAATACCAATGACTAAAAAGTGAAAAAATATATACATGCATGTGTAAAAATATTACTTTTTTGTAAAATACAAACATAGAGTAAGGACCATTATATCCTTAGAATAAACTTTTATGATAAAACACTTGTGTCTTTCCGACAAGTATTTTAATCCCATTTTTTCAAAGGTCATATCACAAATTGATAAATTAATTGATTATTAAACGTCGCTGTCCTTTTTAGTTGTGTAGTATGGTTGTCAGGATCCAGGGTTTATTTCGTGTTCAACAATATTAAGAATTGTGCATGCCTAGAAGGAGGGTGTGAAGCATATAATTTGTCTTAAACCAAAAATATTTTTCTATAAATTACTTTTTTAGGTTCTGATCTAAGCAATTTCTGAAACCTGTTTTTTTTTTCAAGATTCAAACAACTTGTTTGGTTCTATTTTTATCAACTTTCACTTTTTGCGTCATTGTCTTTAAATCTAATTAATCAGAAGAAGTTGGCAAACAGCATTAGTTCATGTACTGATGATCAAGAGGTTAAACAGCATTATCTCCTCACATGTCGATCTCCCCTTGTTAAAAAATAAGCTAAACGTGCCCCAAAGGTTTATGAACTTTGTTTCAATCGACTTATGACATAAAATGTTATTTTAAATTAACACTTTAAAGAGGATTTTCATCAAAGATGTCGTTTAAGTTACCCTTTACTCTAAATAGGAGGTGTGCAACAATTATTTTAATTTGTTAATCTTTCTTACATTGTAGACACTAACATCACTTAATATCAATTAAAATGAACATGCTACTAAGTGTAATTGGCAGCCATTATCTGATCAGACACGTAGTATTGCCTTTGAATCTATCACCTGCGCTACTCAGATGCCCTAAAATGGCATGTGAAATAAAGTTTTCAGCAAAGAAAAGGAGCGTACCATGTTTATGTAGTAGTAGAAGAAACTAGAACATAACGCATATAATTTTCAAGACACAGTCCTTTACTCTTGTTATGTAATCCCTCTGCCGATACTCAATATACTGCAACCAATAAAACCTCTAATTTTAAACCATGTGATTCTCAAACGTCTACCTACATGTAACCCCTTCCAGTTAAATAAGCATAAAGTATGTTTTATTTTTGTGTGATTATTTAATGTTTAATGATATATCTCAAGGTAATTATTTAAGGAGGGATTCTTTTAAAATTTATAAAAAAAAACTTTAAAGGGGCATGGACACAGTTTCAGCTAAAATTTCAAAATTTATATTTCCATTTTTACAAATATCTTACTAGGGTCTTTCTAATGATCATCAAAAATTTGAACGTCAGTTGTCCAGATACAAGACAGATTCAGAGCTCCAAACCTTTGTTATGTAAACAAGGTGTGTGTCATGTTTTTGTTTCCACATGATAATATACTAATATATGTTCGTTCAAAGTAGATAATTTCAAATAAAATTAATTCTAAATACGATTCGACAGTTACTATTGATTTGCTGAATTTCATTAAATATGATATATATGAAAAATGATATGATAAATATGATATTTTCTATATGTAAACAAAAACAAGGCACGAGCCTTGTTTACATTATGAAGAACTTTAAGTTCTGTATCTTGTTTGTTAATCAATAAATTATGTTCAAATTTTTGCTAGTCAATAGATGATGCCTTAGGAAGGAATTGTAAACATTAACACTGGTTTAAAAATTTAGTTGAAACTGTGTCCATGCCCCTTTAATTCACAACTAATAATTTGAGTTCATAAGATTTGTTTAACGTCTTTCACTTTTTCAAAATTTTAAGCTTAATTCATTGTGAGAATCAGAAAGAGCTATTTTCATACACCACCACTCCGCCGAAAATGTAGTCCCTGCTAGACTTCAAACTCAGTTCGCCAATACTGTTTTAAGATGTATCCTTATGAGGAGTAAAGAAAAACATTATAGTTTTAACCCCTTGCATCTTATGTAAAAGACTTTTCAAGAAATATACTTTGAATATTTAAAATTTCATCTAGTCAGAAACAAGACAAAAATCCCTCGATTTCGATTAATTAAGATTGATCTCGTTGCTTTTGCTTCATGTTTCCTGGATGAATTGAGAAAAAGAAAGACACGATTTAAATGATACATTATGAAATAATAATTAAATCTATCATTTTTTATGCACTTTAAAATGAATCTTTCCTTAATGGTAGACACTCACATAACTTACTAGTGCTAATTGTAACGGGGACCGTTACAGATGTTCCCCAAACGCTCCCCAACTCCCTTTTATAGTCATATCCCCTGTAAGCGTAATTAAATAAGACAAACTTTATGCATTTGAGACTTTAACAACGTTTACCCAAAAGTGTACCATGTTCATTTAAATTTTATCATTGCACACTTGCGCATGTGAATGCATGTGCGTAATGACCATATCATATTTTCTACACAATCTATATATTTTAATATGCTAAATATTACAGTATTTAATCCAAAATTATTAAAAAAAACGCTCATTCAAGTGTATTTTTGATTTTACCCATTTCACGTGCACGCACGGGCATACATAAGCATGGTGACCATACCTTCCTAAAGTCCATTACATCTATCTATGTTCTAAATCCCACCCAGTTTGGTTGAAAA